CGCCGCCGCAGGCGCACACGCTGACCACGCTGAGCAGCGAGCCGGGCCAGTCGCAGCGAACGCACATCAAGACGGAGCAGCTGAGCCCCAGCCACTACAGCGAGCAGCAGCAGCACTCCCCGCAACAGATGGCCTACAGCCCCTTCAACCTCCCGCACTACAGCCCCGCCTACCCGCCCATCACCCGCTCGCAGTACGACTACAGCGACCACCAGAACTCGGGCTCCTACTACAGCCACGCGGCGGGCCAGGGCTCCGGCCTCTACTCCACCTTCAGCTACATGAACCCCGCGCAGCGGCCCATGTACACTCCCATCGCCGACACCTCCGGGGTCCCCTCCATCCCGCAGACGCACAGCCCCCAGCACTGGGAACAGCCCGTCTACACACAGCTCACCAGGCCCTGAGGCGAAAGGATGACATCACCCGTGCCCACCCCCTCCTTGATAGATCCAAGAGCAAGCAAAGAAACCAGCAGTGTCTCCTCGGGACATTTCCCTCTCTCTCACTCTCTCTTCCTCAAAGACATTAGCAGGAAAGGCAACTTGTGCACAAACGACAAGATGGCTTAACATGACCAATCCAAGCGCATGACCCACTTCTTGCGAGTCAGTGGCCTGGCCACTGGGCTAGATGGACGGACAGAAAAGGGGAGAGACTTGGACAAACATCCTTCACCCTTCATGGAGGCTGACGGAACCAGGGCCCGCCCATTTGCTCAATCTCTCTGCCTGTTTGGACTTTTGTAATTATTTTTTAGCAGTAATTAAAGAAAAGAGTCCTCTGTGAGGAATATTCTCTATTTTAAATATTTTTAGTATGTACTGTGTATGATTCAATACTGTTTTGAGGGGATTTCTACATATTTTTAGATTAAAAAAATAATAATGAAATGCTCTTATTTTTTCCAACAGCTGAACTACTCTTAGTGAAAGCCTGCGTCCTAGCTTGTTCCTGCAACCAGAGTATTTTTGTACAGATTTGCTTTCTCTTTAAAAGAAAAATGTATGTGTGCCGGTGTATTCACACACATAGACACACACACACACACACACCACAATGCAAAAAAAATTGTTACGTATGAAGTCAGTTGGGAGGTTAGTTTTGTATAATCCCTTCGGCTTTGTCTGACCGGAGGAGAAGCCGCCTTAAAAAGAAAAATAAAATAAAGACCTTATTTTCTTTTTTTGCGAATATGGAAGTAAATAGTCTAGAGAAGCATTTGGTAAGCTTTATCATATATATACATATGTATACTTTTTTTTTTTAAGCAAGAGAAACACCTTGAGCCTTAAAACCATTCTGCTGGATCTCAAGTTGCTAGATCCTGTTGGCCTTTGCATAGTTGTTCCAATTAGAAGAGAAATAAAAGGCCAGCCAAAAAAAGCAACAAAGTCTTATTTGGGGACAGTTTCAGCAGCCAATGCCCACCCCCAGCCCACTGCCCCCTGGTTGCCTGCCGCCCCGGGGGGCCCAGATGGGATGCAGATGCTGTCACCAGGTGCCTCTCTGGTCACCAGCAGTTAACCTTCAGAGACATTCCATATGCTAAAATTATTTATTTTGTAAGGAGAGGTTTTCATGGGGGGGTGGGGAATAATTCCTTTCCTTAAAAAATATTGTTTTTTAATTCACCTTCTTTTAAAATAGGTTGTTGGGGCCTTCCTCAAAGGGTATGATCCTCTGTTGTTAAATTATGTTCCTAACTGTAAGCAGTTTTTGTTTTTTGTTCTTTTATTTATCTCTTTAAGCTTTTTTTATTATTATGAAAAACAAGTTTCTTGGGCTTCCTTGTCCTAGATTTGTACAAATGCCTTTTTTTGTCCTTCCTTTCCCCTTTTCCATTTGTTGTTGTTTTTGTGATTCTTGTTGCAAACAAAACTGGAAACTTGTTTCTCTTTTGTGTGTGTGCATGTGTGTGCCAACGAGAGATAGCAAATGTAGTTCACCACTGAGTTCAGCACAGTTGCTTTCTGCCACAGAGCTGCCCCAATGGAGTGTGTGTGTGTGTGTGTGTGTACACATATGCACGCCACTCTGACACACAAGCACACGCCTGTGCCATGGACATTCCCCGTTTTCCCCGGCATGTTCTCTGAGAGAAAGGGCGGAGAGGAAGGGACAGGGGAGATGGGGCTGACAGACTGTCCTTACTGCTGTGGCTGGAGAGTTTGAGGGTTGCTTTGAGAGAAAAAAAAAGAGCAAACTTTTTTTGGTTTTTTTTAATTTAAAAGAAAAGATATATTAACAGTTTTAGAAGTCGGTAGAATAAAATCTTAAAGCACTCTTATAATATGGCAACTTTCAATTTCTGTATAAAAGCAGATCATTTTTTTAAAAAAAAAACACCTATTTCTGTAACTTAAAAAACCTGGCATTTAAATCATATTTTGTCAACTTTAGTTAAGATTTGGTTGATATTTGTGTTTTGTTTGTTTCCATGCTTGTCCCATCCCCCCAAAAAAACAAAACCTTTCTTTCGCTCTGTGAATCTCACTCGCAACTCTTTCTTCTTGTCCTGTTGTTTTTCTTTCATTTTTGTATATTATTGTTTACAATAAATATACATTGCATTAAAAGGAAAACGGCCTTATGACTTGATCCATCCAGTTTCTTGACAAGAAGACTTTGAGACGCTGGGGGCATGGGGACGGGGAGGGGAGGTAGACCGGCAACCCACAAGATTGTGAAGCGTCTCCGACTGAAATTTCATTTTCGCTTTATTGTTGTTGGTGCGTTTTTTTGTTTTGTGTTGCTTTTTCATGTGCCAGGCTAGCACATAACCTGTCCCCCAAACAGCTCGGCATCAAAGTCCAGCAACAGTGGCACCCCATTAGAGCAAATTCGGAATCCCCTGTCACATGTCAGTAGTTGCCCAGCCTGGCAAAATGCTTGTGGTTTTAATCTCCTGCTTCAAGGCAAAGGCTGTTCCCTTGTGAAGGTCAGAAGGGAGTCTTAGTCCTGAAATCCGTAGCTGGTCGGAGACCAGAGGCTGGGGAAGGGTGGCTTGCTTGTCTGGCCAGTAAGAACACAACAGCCAAGAAAGGAAGCTTCTAGTTACAAGGCCAGGGACGCGAGAGGAATAGAAATTCTCCAGTGGACCGGAGGCAAACCTGCCATGTTAACCCCGTGGGCAGCCTCCTGGTGCCTCAGCAGGAATGATGGAGGGAGATGGGCTTTGCTGTTGGTACCCCTTCCGTTTAACTCTTTCAGAGCAAAACCCCCCGGAGAAGTAATGAGACCTAATCTTGTTTTCCTTGGCTGAGGTGAGGTGGGGAGTTTCCAGGTTGGACGAACACTCAGGTTGGTTTTTTCATGAAACAGATGAAATCACCCTCCTCCCTCCCACCCCCAGGGAGACAGACACAGCCGGGCTGTCTCTGGAAGCAACCCTGCGCAGACAAGGGGGCCGCTCCCACCTCCTCAGGCTGGCCTTGCTGCTTGGGCCCCACTGCACGCTCCGGGGCTCCCAGCCTCCTTGGGATTACCTCACGTTGTCTGTTTTTGCTTATGGGATTTCTGGCTGCCGGCCCACACCAGGATCGCAGCAACCAGGAAAACGGTAGTTATCAAATCGAGGCAGCATTAGCCCTCAGCCTCCTTGGCAAATTCCTTCAGCAAACAGTGATTGAGTGCCTGTGATTCCCAGGGTGGCTGCGCAAATCTTTCCCAGCCCCTTCGGGCCTGGAATTCGGTCCCTTGTTTGGACCATGGCATCCCAGTCTATCCTACAAGCTTATAAAATCTTTTTCCGCCCCCGCCCCCGACTTTTTTATGCCATCCCCCACCCTGCACCAATATTTACAAAATCCTGTCAAAAATATCTCGTGAGTGTTCACTAACTCCTATGCCCCCGTAACTGCCCTTATTCTCCCTCCTTTGGGTTTTTGGGGTGTTTTTTTAATATGAAAAATGACAGAGACCATTTCTCCAAAGCCATTCCATGGCCCTACCATGGGTCTGCAGTTCGCCTCAGCGTTCTCTCGGCTTGGGAATAGGTTCTTTTCCTCAGCGTGTGGCTGTTGGCAAGCCATCTCAGAGCCAGAATGTTCTGTTCCCAAATGGGCTTGCTAGGGGACGGAGGGTAATTTGCGTTCCACATTCCCCTGCCTCAGTCTCTCCTTTTGCTGAGAATGTTTATAAACCCTCCTCCTGTAGTCCCAGGTTTCTCGGCTGGGGTTAGGGAGACGGGGAGACATTTTTATTTATTTGTTCATTTATTTTTAGCCAGAAGCATTCTGGGAACCGGTTGCTTCTGAATGTCCCAGTCCCCGCAGCAGGCCTAACAAAAAGGGGTTTCCGAGGGTGACGCCTGAGGAACAGGGGTTTCTCAGAAGCTCTCCAAGTGATTCCAATCCACCCAATCCACCATCAACCCAAGAGATTTCCCGGGTGCACCGAGAGAAGGCCTCTCCTGGCGGCTCCCCCGTCTACGCGGTCTCCCCAAAGCCTAACATCACCAGATGACAAAATCGCTCCGAGGAATTTCTATTCCAACTCCTGTGACAGAGTTTACCCCTCTGGCAACAACCACACCGCTCTTGGTCTGGAAGCCTCGGGTTCGTCCTAGAAAAGGATTGTTTGTAGGCCAGGCGTTATTTATTGATTTAACATGCTCTCCACGTAAGAACTGTTTGGGGACGATTGCAAGCAAAAAAAAAAAAAAGTGTGGTTTTTTTTTTTAAAGCCAAAAGGGGAAAAAACCAACGTCTAGACGGTTCAGAAAGTAGCAGCATGCGGCCCAGTTTGAGTTGTGTGTTTACTTTCCCACCTCCACGCCAGCCCACCCTCCCTCTGCATCCCCAAAGGAACACAGCGAGGCCACTGCCGCCGGACTTAAATCAGCTGCAGGAGTTAGGGCTCTGGCCAGAGATGGAATTGCCGTGAGGCTAATGGGATAGGACCCCCGCACTGGCATAGGCAACGTCTAAGGTCTTCTACTTCAGTCCCATGTATTTCTACTTTTTTTCTTAAAGAGCACCCCACTCCTTGAGCCCCAGCCCCCCACATACGACTTCAGGTTCCACCAAACCTGGGTCTGCCTGTGACCCCAGGTTTTGGCCCACATCAGCAGCTGAAAGCAAGACACTTTAAAAATGGTGACCAGGGGATGATGGCAGCAGATGTACCAATGTGCTTGATACAATGAACGTATGTATAGATTGTGATAAGAGTTGTAGGAGCCCCCAAGACAATGATTTTTTTTAAAAAAACGGTGGCCAGAATGCTCGACTCTTCTTCGTATTCCTTGGGTCATTTCTACTTTCAACAGCATAGCCACCACAGACCCACAGTGGTAGAATCAGTGCCAACTCCTGGCAGCCCTACGGGTGTCCGAGAAGAACTTGGCTCCATGAGGTTTTCAACCGCTTATCCACCAGCAGCAGACCGGCTGGCTCTCTTTTCTAGGCACCTCTGGGTAGAAGGGAGCTTCCGATAGGCACTTAATGAGGCCAGCACTGGGGGGAAGTGGGATGAGTTGTGTCAACCTGAATGTCTGAAACGTGTAGGAGTGGAGTCCATCCTGTCAGTCAGGTCACAGCCTGATGATGCCTCCGAGGGGGCCGTGGGGCCTTCTTCTAAGCAGGGAAACTGGGAATCTCCCTCTCTCTGTCCCTTTGCCTTCCTGATTGCTGGGACTCGGCCTCCATGGGCGGCCCCATGTGGGCGGCCAACCCTGAAAGCTGCCGGTGCCCTGTTGTATTTCCCAGCAACCTTGGATCTTCTCCACTCCAAACACACCAGCCTGTGATCTGCCTGCTTCCTGGTTCAATGTTCTGTTCTGCCTCACTGCACGCAGCCAGGTGAGTCGGCAGAGGGACTTTAGGACGAGCATCTCTGAGTTAGGGACTTGTGTTGGACTGGGCTGGTGGGATGCCTTCTTGATATATAATTGCCTTTTTTTAAAAAAACAGTTTTCATAGCACTTCACCTCTCATACAATTCAATAATTCAGTCAGATGAAGAAGAGTTGTACAGTTCTCACCACACTCCATTCTAGAACGTTTTCTTCTTCTTCGTACTCATTTTCATTCGTGTAATTCTATTTTTCCTAATTGTGACAAAAATATACACAACAAAACATGTTCCAAGTACACAACTTCTACACGTCCCATTCAGTGCCATTGATTATACTCTTCATGATGTATAACCACTATTGATATCCTCTTCCAAATTCTTCTACCACAGCTCACAGACTCGTAATTCCTTCTTGATAGAAAGCTCTTTCTTATACTGAAGTGAACGTCACTGGATTTATTTCCCTAGACAACCTGACCAAACACACACTGTAAGCATTTTTCTCCCTCGGAAACCCCCTCAGCGACCTTCTAGAACCTTGACAAACTTGAGAAATACCAAGCTTCCAACCTAACCAAGACCCTGATGACAGTGCCACGGAACCTATTATTGGGGTCACTATGGGTCTTTGATTTAAAAAAATGAATCATAGGTTGCAGGAAGAGATGGTCTATGAAGACATAGAAGAACAAACGGAGGGTCGTTTGCAGGTGAGATGGTTAAAGTCACCTTAGAGCGGCTGGCCTTCATGTAAACTGGGTCAGCGGAGGTTTCGTGGCTCTGAAAAATGGATGGAGGCCAGGGGAAGAAAAAGAGGTCAGCAGGTTATCATCCAAACCCTTCCAGCATCTAGCAACTGCCCTGATCATCCAAACCCTTCCAGCATCTAGCAACTGCCCTGAACCCTTGCCAGGCTTGAATACGCTACCAACTTCCCCGTGGTCCCAATCAGTGGCATTTTCTCCCATAGCCTTTACGATAGAAAACACCAGAGAGTACAATTTGGTTTGGTTGGTTGATTGGTTGATTTTGGGTTTGGGGTTGATCCAGTACTGACTTTGGGTGGGACGGGACTCCTGGGCAAAGGGTTTGGTGTTCGGGATCATAATCCGGATTCTGCCACGTTCCCCTCCGTCTTGGATAAGTTTCCGATCTCATATTTTTGGTCCCTCATATGATGACGGTCATAATGGTTATCTCGCAGGCAAAATAAGAGTGGGGTGAAGTATAGCACACCACAAAAATGAATTACATATACCTTTTCATTTCCCTTTTGGATGGCCATGACCTTTGATCTTTTTAATACAACCTGTCCCCTGCCTTTTCATGGGCCCTCCATCGACACTGAAAGGTTTATGAGGCACTGTTGAAGTTACCCCTCTTCCATTATCCACACACTGGAGGGGGACTCTTCTCAACCCTAAAGGTACCACACTCAGGTTATCTCCGGTTAGCATTTGTTTAAAATGCTGGGCTAACCCTGAGGCAGAATGCATGTGATCTTGAGGTTCCTGCCCACAGCCCATGGTTTTC